GGTGCGTCTTAATTGGATTGTTTAAGGTTGCAACCTTATAGAAACCACACCCATATATATATACACAAGTATGGTCCAACTATTTTCACAGGTCACACTACTATTAGTGACTACATGATTTGGATTACAGCAGAAAAACATGTCTGAATTCCCAATTGTCTAAAACAAAAACTTGTCAAACCACAGTTAGCATGAATATCAGCCTTTTGTAACGATCTTCCCTAAACATAGTGGAATATGTTATTGCGGTTTTGGATAAGCCTTTACATGAAAATAGGCATAACACTCTTCATTGAGAGTTTAACACTCCTTACTTATGTATAACAAATAAAAAAGGGAAACAACCGTAATGGATTTAGGCATAAGTAATAAGAGGAAATACTTGAGTTTCAAGCATTAATTTGTGCATCAGAAAAGCTATATCCTTCAAATCATATACATAGTGGTTTCAAATAAATCATAGTAATTTTACCTGGGATATGAATCTAGAGAAAGAAACCATGGAAATTGAGTAGTAGAGAACCTTGTCTGAGAAAACTTTTCCATGGAAACAATTAAAATCACTATTTTAAAATGGACCCGGTTTCTATGCGGCGAAGCCCGCATATGTAGAAATGCGGGCCTCTTAATAAATCTACTTTTGTGATGTATTTTAGGACTTAATTTTGAAGGACATGTAATCTCTAACATAGAGATCATAAATATGAATAAATAAATAAATTTTAAAAACTAAAAATAATAATTCTAGTAAGAAAACATTTGAACCGTTAGTTTTCATTGTTTTTAGATGGAACACCTACTTGTATCCATCCTTAAGATGTATGCTTTACACTTTCTATACCGCATATGTAGAAATGCGGTCCAGCCCACATGAAACAATTTTCCTTTTAAAATAGCCATGATTGCTTCAGTATATAATATCCTCTAGAAAGAGAAAACATAAAAATCTAGCAGAAGGGAAGCTTTTAGTGCCACTTTTATATAAGAGAAACAACCCAAACCCAGTACATAACCCATGATGATTGATTCTAGGTAGAACATCATCTATAGAGAGAATAGCAATCTAGACAAAAATTAAGCTACTACTATCAAATTATGCAATGGAAACCATCCAAAAAGTCTAATTTCAATAAATCATTGGAGACAACAGGGAAATGTTTTTTCTACGACATGGTCCGGCATTCTGCACCTGCTCCAAATAATTTTCAACATACTTCATCCACAACTAAGTATTGTCGGAGGTGAAACTAATTTTATTTCAAAAAGGTGACTGTTTCCCTTTCCCTTATCTAAATAATGCTAGAAAGATGATTCAGTGATGCCCTTAGTAGGTATTCTCAATGCATGGATGAAAATGCTGAAACTATGGTAAAATGTTGGTTATTTATCGTATGCTTTATCTCTATATATGGTAGTACATTAAGCCATGGGAGGGCGGAAGACTGGGGGATCTTTCCACAAAAATGCTTGGAATAATATGACGAAGGCAGTGAAAGCCAAATATGTGGTGGATTTTGATAGGGATAGGCTGAAGAATAGACTGAAAACACTAAAAGGTCAGTATTCCAATGTGAAAGGAACTCCTCCAACAACCTGGCTTTAGGTGGAATGAAGAGAAAAAGATAGTGGTGGCTGAAGAGGCAGATTGGGATGATTTCATACAGGCGAGTCTCTTTACTTTTTCTGATAAATGCTTCTATTGTTTGTGTAACAATATAGGTTTGTGTGACAAAATTCTTTGCCTTTAAATGTGCAGGGACACCCATGGGCTGCCAACTACAGAAAAATGGTTGTGTGCAATTATGAAGACCTGACCATCTGTTTAGGAGACTCAGTTGCAGATGGGGAGCTTCAGTCGAACTGGACCCAATGCTCCCGTCAAAGAGAATACACCATTGGGAGATACCACTCCTCATGATGTGACCGGTGGCATGTCACCTGCTGACATTGGATCTCCCATCTTTGACCCAGTGGAGGGGGCGCCTGATTCATTGTCATAGAGTGGCAATGCAAGATCTTCAATGGCTTCTAAGAAGCGTCGAAAATCTTGCAGCTCGCGAGTCCCTCAAATGGCACAAGTTGGCCTTACTCAACAGGTGGCTGAAACATTGAGTGCAGTGGCTTTAAATGTGATGACACTTACATTTATTATGATCTTTCAATTTATCTTTATGTGATGTTTGATCTTTCTCTATGATTTGTGAGGGTTTTAGATCCATTGCTTTGAGTCTTTAACTTATATCACACTTTTTTCAATTAAGATTGCAGAAAACTCCGTTGTTATGGAACCAGAATAGGAGCACAATTCTTTGCCACAGTTTTAGCTAGATGGGTAGCACGTTATATTTTAGGGTTGGCAATGGGTCCGGTCAGGTCCGGATCCGGCCCGAAAAATGGTATGGGACTTTGACTCAGACCTGGACCCAACCCAAAATTTTAAAAAATATCTATATATTTAACTATCTTTCATATATTGGGACCCAAAAAATATCACCGGACCTGAACCGGAAGTGAATAGTATTCGGGTCCAAGATTTGGACCTGGACCTGACCTATTAGGTCCATATTTTGGACTCATACCCAGCCTAGATCGGGTCTACCCCTCGAGTTTCTGGTCAGGTCAGGGTCCGGGTCCATTGCCACCCCTAATTTGTACAACAATACGCACATTCTGAGGTTGTGGGTTCACAGTGCACCACAAACTAGGTCTGCCTTTGCTTTGTATTTAATCAATGCAAATTGTTGAAGTTGTTTGGATTTATTGTGTATGGACATCACTACTTTTTAGAAGACATTTGTGGGATTCTAAAACAAAGAAATCTTGCTTTATAGTACTAGGAATACATTGGTAGAAGATTGGCAGGCAACATTTCTGCACACCATTGTACATAATGAGTGCAATAGGGTTAATGCAAATTCATTATTAGTGGAGACAATGTTTCAAAGCCCGACGATTTCCAATTTGGTATCTAATGTTTTTTTAAGTTCCTCTAATCCTGGCCTCATAAACTCTTATTTTAATTGAAAATTTTATTTTTTTAAGTATGTTTTGGATCACCAATCCAGATTGCCGATCCAACAATCCAAAATAGGGTAAATGATCCACCCCACTAATCCAAGTTTTGAAACTCTGGAAAAAAGCATTAGTAAATATTTCAATGAAGCGTTGAATGCTAGATTGGCCTTAAAAGTATAGTACCTAATGCCTCCGAGCGATGAGAACACATCCTTGAATCTCAGTTGGAGACACATTCTCCCACCAGTATATATTGTTTTTCAAAGTAGTCCACTGTGCATGGCCACTTGATTTTAGCTAATCTGACATTGCATGGTAGGATTGTTTTGGAGTGGTTGATGAAATACATGTACGTAACTTGTGTTAGCTAAACCATGCCGTAACTTGAATGACAAGAATCAGTGTTTGATGGAGATAAACCACTACGCAATGCCTATGGGTGAATATGCATAGTGTTTTCGTCTATAGACTCAGCACCATCTGATATTTTTCAGACGACATGGGTAAATCGACTAAATCCGGTGCGGTCAATTTTTCATGCGAAAAATATGAAAAACCGCAACATGAGCCATTGTGAGGCTAAACACTATTCATTTTCACCTTAACGACGTTTTTAAGACTTCTCCATTAGAAAATATTTTTCAAAGGAGGCTTACTGCTGGTGCAAATTTATTCATATTAATACGAGAAGAGACATCTAAACTTTTGGGGCTCATCTGGAAAACAAAAAAGTTTCTTGAAAAGTACAAGGAAAAAGAGATGATAAGAGGGTTTGTGGGATAGAGGGCATGGGATTTATAAGAGTGAGAGATGAATGGGGGTGAAAAATATTAACTTTCAGATAATAAATAATCTACATGTTCAGATAATAAACATTCCACACATTGTTGAAAATCTTTTTGCTAAAAAATGAGGTAAAAATAAGGATGACCAAAGCATAACTCCTCTAATTTTGGGCACCAATTGTTAGGAATCATTAGATAGATATGCCTCACTTCCAGATAATAATATCCCAGAAATTAATTTTCAAGGACTCCAAACGCATTGTTGATTTATAAGCAGGTGAAAGAAAGAGAGAGAGAGAGAGGACAAAATTCAGATTAATACAAGAAAATATTTACCCAAAAAAAACATATATGAGAAGGGAAAAGTTTATTTAGAGCCTAGGCTCTAAACAATCAAATTAGAGCCAATCTCGAAACTTTCACTAGAAGAGGTTGTTTTGATGCCCAATATCATCAAATTAATCATATCCACATCAAGATGCATGGACATGAGAAAAAAATAGATTTCAAGTTTTATAGATAGTGCAACTTGTAATCTATTTTTTGACAGTCAATTTTCAATATTTTCAAGTTGTCATAGATGTGCTCACTACACTATTTTTGAAGCTTTAAATTTTATAACTAAAAATGAAAAATATAATTTAAGGTCTCTCGACACTATTTGAAAGCGGGCTCTAATTTGATCGTTTAGAGCCTCGGCTCTACACAAACCGCACCCATACAAGAAAGAGTCCTAAACTTCCCAAGAGAGATGACAGATCTGACTCATAAGTTGATGAGAGGAGGGACTGTGTTATACTTAGGACCAAAAATACGAGGAACACACCTCCAAATATATAGAGGTGAGAAAAATGGATTTCATGTCTTGGACATAATACATCTTGTAATGCATTTTTGGGCTTTCAAGTTTTTCAAGTGTTCATAGATTTGCTCGATCACATTATTTTTAAAGTTTCAAATTTTATAATTAGAGATGGAAATAAATTTTCAAGCCTTCACAAAGATTCTCAATATTAAAACAACTTCTTTCAGGTGTTTAGGCCTTCAGCCTTATACAAACCACGCCCTTCAAATTTTCATAATGCTTCTGGATTTTAAACCAGGAAGAAGAGATTTAATGAAGGCGATAATACCGTTCAACTTCTTGTACACAGACTATAGATAAAACTCTTCCCCCTGGGAAGTCCATGTGCCGTATGCTACAAGTCAGTATAAAATCTTTTGACATTACTTTAAATATTGTTCCCCTTACTCAATAAGCTACAAATTTCCAACATGGTCAGAGGCATTAATGCATTCACCTCATCGACTCCCAACTAGGGCTGTTAACGGGCCAAGGCTGGACCACGGGCCTTTGGGCCGGCTCTGAAACCAATTTTCGGAGGGGATCGAGCTACCTGTTAGCCATGGCCAGGCCCAATCCGCTTGGTAGTCCTGAAATATTTTTAGGTTGGACCCCAGCCAGTATTGGCCCAGCCCGACCTTTTAGGCTGAATATTTTTTAAAGTGTATATATTACATGTAAAAAACAAATTTTTTTCCATGTTTATACAGGGTCCAGCTTGCTTTTGGGCCTCGGCTATGCTCTGACCTATAATTTTGGGCTGGGCCCGGGCTAGGCCAAAAGCTAATTTCTCGGGCCGAGCAAGCTATGGCCCCTACCGTGCAATGTTTCTGGCCAGGCTTCACCTAAATGACTGGAAATTGAGTCTCCACCAATTGAACAGGACTTCATATATATGGGGTATTTGCTTCTTTCTTCAACATGAGAATAATCCTTCACAAAACCACATCTGAGATACTTAACTACATCCATTCATGCCCCCACAGCAAGTTTCGTCATCAAATTAGAACCAGTTTCCAACTTCCACCTGCTACATTGCCAAACTCTTAGAGCACATCACTTGCTCTCTCTAGAACTTGTTCCTTCGGTCTCCACACTAGTTTCTCTCTCGACACCCAGACTCCACATCTCTCTTCAAATCAATGGAAATATGCCCTGCAATGGCATCACATAATCCTCAATCAGTCACAGTCAAATATCTTTTTATTAGCAATCACTTCGGAGCTCATGAGACAATACATTTAAGTCTTATCAAATCCGAAAAAGAACGAAAGGCACAAATACTAAGGGAAGAACCTGAGCCAACCCCCAAAAAAGCGAAAACAAAATGCAAAAAATAAATTGCAGTTCTGGTGCAGTCTACCAATAAAAGAAAAAACGTAATGACTTCTAACTTTTTAAATCAAAAGAATAGACGCAAAAATAAATAAATCTAATTCCCCATCCTGTACATAGAAATTAGCAGAAGCAGCATAGTGGACAAAATAAATCTCGCAAATAGTAGAATCTCTTGGGAATTTTACCAGTTCTTGTTTAATGGCACCACGTCCATTACAAATCGTGAAATTTTAGGAGCCAACCGCTTCTTTTACAGGGTTATCACATCCATCAAAAGTTTTAACATCAATTGCCATCTCTTCATTAAGACCCTCCTTTGATACATCATTACAAACCTTGGGACCTGCAATATGGAATGCCAAGATCTCCTGGTAATTAATCGCAGCTCAAATGCTCAAAAGTAACATAACTCTAGAACCTCAAAAAGGCCGAGGTACAAATTCAGAAAAAAACCTGGCCCAAATCCAAGAAACATAATAAGAGCACCATAAATTCACAGCAATAAAATGATGTGGTTTAGCGCCCAAAGAAACACCCAATAGAAATTGATCATATTATGCCTGAAAACTGATTGAGAATTATCAGTTTCTAAATGATTATTACCAGCTTCATCTGCAACTCCAGTAACTGCATTACCAACTGCTGGATCTTTAACAATTTGGGGCCTACCCAATTCATTAGTGGGATTGCTGATTGTAGGCTCACCAGCCATTTTATCCTTACAACCTTTCTCAGAGACATCATGAGAGACATTAGAGCCAAAGCCAGATACCCTCATTTCACCATTAACACTTCTCTCTCCAACATCTGCACCAACCACATGGACAAAGCCTCCAAAAGCTTAAGACAGCCCAAAATAGAACATCATTTACTTCCATAAAAAATGATCAAAACAAAAAACAACTAAAGAAATCAATATATCAGCCACCAGCTTCCTCAAAAGTGACACAACCGAAAAAATATATATACAGAAGATCGTAAAAATAAACTGTAACCTAATTAATTTTACCAGCTTCTTCAACAGCTTCACCACTAACTCTGCTGCCAGATGCAGGATCTTCAACAATTTGAGGACTACCAGATTCTCTTATGGCATTATCACAACCACCATCAACGCTCGTTTCATCAACCATCACATGATCATCGCCACCTCTCTCTGAAACACTACTATAATCCCGAGAAGCAATCTCAGTGAAACCCAATTGATCATCACCTTCTCTGCTTAAGACATCATTATGAACCTTAAAATCAGACCCAGAAACATACATGTGATAATTTCTCTCTTTCTCTGTATCATCAGCATGAACCCCATGCTCACCCTCAGCATGCTCCACACCACCTGCAGACGGAAGCTTCTCAGCCGTCAATGGTCTGCAATCCATTGAATCTCTGTCCCCTCTCTCTGAAGTCACATTAGCAGACGTGTTCTGATTTCTACTTTCCTCTGTAATATTTGTGTCAACCCAATGACCACCTTCCTCTGCAACATCACATTCACAAATCCGATTGTCATTTGGTGGATCATTACTAGTCTCCCCATCAACATGCTCCCAACTGCTGCTAGAAGAAGGCTTCTCAGCCATAGATGGTCGATCAACAATCAAATCTCTATCCCCTCCCTCTAAAACACCATTAACAGATGTGTTACCATTTCCACCTTCCTCTGCAACATCAGCATCGACTCCATGGTCACCTCCCTTTGCAACATCTCCATCAACTCCATGGCCAACATCAGCATCGACTCCATGGTCACCTCCCTTTGCAACATCTCCATCAACTCCATGGCCAACATCTTCATCAAAACCATAAACAGCCTCCTCCATAGAATTTTCATTGGCTTCATGGCTAGATTCTTCTGCAACATTTGCAGTTACTCCATGGCTCGCCTCCTCTGCAACATTTGCATCATCAGCAGTCTCACCATTGACCTGATCTCTATCATTTGTAGAAGAAACCTTCTCAACCATGGATGGATCCTCATCCATAGGATCCCTGACCCCTTCCTCTGAGACACCATTAGCAGACATGTTACAATTCTCAACCTCCTCTGCAACACCACCCCCATGAACCGCATTACCATTTGCTCCATCAGTAGCAGCTTCACCATTAGTACGATTCATTAAATGCCCCTCATCCATTGATTCTTCTCCATCCCCTCCCTCAGAAACTACGTTAAGGGACATGTTACCATTTCCTTGAGCAATTACACTAGCCTCATCAGAGCTCCGACCATGAAGTAATTCAGCCGCCTTCTTTAACTGCCCCTGAACCTCAATAGCCATTGAAGTAGCATGATCAAGAACAAGAGAATCATAGGGTGGGCAATTGAGGGTTTGACCCAGTGTCCTGTTATACTGGAACAGGCTTATTGAGGGACCAACCAAGCCACGATTCCTACAAACCCAGCTCGCCTTTATAACATGCTTACAAAGATAACCCAAGGCTGACCATTCACAATCACATATTGCAAATTCGAAGCCGGGGTTCCTCACAATGTGCACATGTTCTGGGTCACTCTGGCTCATTACCAATGCATCCCTTCCTTCCAAAGTGATATTAGAATCAGGGATCTCTGATGCCCGAGACCAGGAGGTAATACCCATTTCGACCCACTCGTCTTTTCGATATCGAGAGAACTTATTCCTTTCTTGGAACTCGTCAAGCCAGAAATAGGAGTGGACCTTGGTTTCCAGCTTATCAATGAGCCAATCAGCACGATGATAAACTGACGGCTCTTTCTCATTCAACAACCTGACCTTGAGTTTATGGTGATATGATTCCATGGATGCGCAGGTTTCTAGGCTTGCAAAAGGAAAACTCTTCAATGCCGAAACCCAAATGCCTGTGGAAGAGCGCAGACATGGTTAGCCAACTAGAAACACACAGATATACACTTCCAAATACGAACCAAAGCACAACACAGAAGTGTGAGTGTAGAAGGATAATTACTGATGTAACTTTCCATATGCATAATATACCAACTACTCCAATAGTAACTAATAGTGAGAAGTTTACAAAGAGAAGTTGACTCTCTGTCTTCTAATTGGTAACCTCCCTGCCTTGTTGGGGTGTGAAAAGCCTTTCCCCACTTTATTATTTTTGTTTGCTATAGTTTTCAGTTTCTTTCTTTTATTTCATTTCATTTTACACTTCATTTTCTCTTCGTTTATTTTTAGAGTGAGGTTTGTATAAGGTATCAATCTTAAACAATCAAAGTAAGACGCACATCTAAATCTTTCTAAAAGATGCAATTCCAATGTTGTAAACCCTTAAGATGGCCTAAAAATTTACTTTAACCCCCTAATTATGACATGTAAAGCTCCAAAAATGGTCTAGATGGAGCAGGTCTATAAACACTTAAAATTCTTGAGAATGGATAGTTTAGAAAATGTGTTGCAAGATGCACTACTTTAGGAGTTGAAGTCGTCTTTTTTTTTCTTCCATTTCCATACATCTTGAGATCGAGAAGATAAATTGTTGGGTTTTTTGATGTTCGAACAATCTTTTCAGTTGGATTTTGAGGTGCACCTTACTTATATTGTATAAGGTTGACACCACCTTATATAAACTTTTTCCTTATTTTTATTTTGTTCTTTGTTGCTTTCATTTATCTTTGCCTTGCTTCTTCTTTTTCTATAATTTGTATATAATCTGCTTTCTTTTTAATTTCTATGTTCCTTCTTTTGTTATTTTGTCTCTTTTTTGAGTTCCTTCATCTTACTTTCATATACCCTTTGCAGTTACATATCCTTTTTTTAGTTTCATATTTCACTGTTCAAGTATTAGCATCCACACTTGCATGCAGCACACAACTGCTAGCAATTATTTATCAATTTGGTCTGAAGGAAAAGAAATCCCACATTAGCAACAGCAAGTAGCTAACACAAACCTAATCTAGGAATCCAAGTTGCCTTGAAATATTCCAAAAAATCAGGGTTGTCAACAAAGTCCACCATAAACTCCTCAAAGGAATCCACATCCCCGTTTCCTCTACAGATACCACATACTGCCTGTCCAAGCCTTCTGAACATCTCAACACACATGTTAGTGGCTGAGCACTTCTTTATAACATTTTTATGCCATGCATGACGTACACGCCAAAAGCATATTAGGATGGAGCACCGAAACACTTCCCTGAGAAACAAAAAACATTAAGAGACAGAGGCCACTTCATAAATTCAAGACAAAAGAAAAGGACTCACAAAAAATTATTGAAAGAAAGGAGCAAAGTAGAGCTAACAAACAGCAGAATTTGACTTTATGGACATTCTTAGGGGAGCTAACTAGGAGGTTGATACCCTTGCAAATCAAGGGTCCTCCAAAAACTCTCCAAGAGTCACTCTATGTTACTCTATTCAGTGTTGGAATCCTGAGTGTCTTGACATCTCTTGACCTTTGCATTATGTTTTTCAGTTTCTTTGTAACATTTATTTTGATAATAAAATTTGGAGCAAATTACATACGCACACTTTTAGGAGGGGTCGATTACCAAATGGGCAGTCATTTGCCCAAAATTACAAGCACCACCCCCCTTCCCCGCGACATTTTTTTTTTTCTCTAAGTTGCCCTCCTGTCTAGGAATTCAAATACCGGACAGGGGGAGAGCTAATTTTAAAAGTAAAAGAGTTGTCTGGCATTTCAAATACCGGACAGCGGGTTTGTTTCCGGTGTTTGAAACCGGATAGCTCTTTGAAAAAAAAAAAAAGGAACGGGAGCATTGGTTGTCTCTTTCTAACTTGCTGAGAGAGAAACTGGGTTTCATTGTTTTGCCAAGCCAAAAGGATGGGAAGCTTTTCTATGCGGTGATTCTGCAGTGATTTGTCCCAGAGATCAGGATGCTTCTTTTGTTGCTTTCTCTTCTCCATGGTTTCATGAACCACTGCAAGAACACCATCTATTTTTATTGTTCAGAACACTACAATTTGCTCATCCTCTTTGAGGTTTATAGATTATGGGGATCTCTGATATATCCTGTTTCTCACTCATCCTACGCCATTTTCTCTCTCTACTATATAAAAAAAGGTCTACAATTTGATTGATTTTTGGAACTTATCCACGAAGTTTAGAGAGAGAGAGGTGGAGATTTACAAGAAGCAATGAATGTAGAGAGAGAAAGAGGTGGTTTTTAACTGGGGGAGCAGAGATATTTTGCAGGAGACGCATGCATGTGGGTCATGGAGAATTGGCACGAGGGGCACCACCATTACTGCTACTTCTCTACTGCTAATAATAAAGTTCAGCCATTACACAGCCATTCCTATTCCCTTTTAATTTTGCTTGAGTGAGATGCCAAAGTTTCTCCTTGGGTAGAGAGAGAGACAACCAATGTTCCCATTCGTTTTTTTCTTTTTCAGAGAGTTGTCTAGTATTTCAAACACCAAACAACAAACAACTAAAATTAGCCCTCACCCTGTCCAATATTTGAAATGCCTAACAACTCTTTTACTTTTGAAATTAGCCCTTCCCCTATCTGGTATTTGAATTGCTGGACAGAAGGGCAACTTAAGATAAATAAATAAATGTCGTGCGGGGGAAGGGGTGGTAATCATAACTTCGAGCAAATGACTGCCAATTTGGTAATTGACCCCTCCCAAAAGTGTCCGTACGTAATTTGCTCTCAAATTTGTCATTGATGATAAATAATTAATAAGAAAACAAGGTGGAAATTTTCAAGAGAAGCTGATTTGCTTAAAACTAAATGATTTCCTCCACAGTTTTATTTCCCAAGTTTAGAGTAAAGAGAAAAAAGTTGTAATGTAAAGCTACCAAGGAAATGTAGTTCATAAATTTATAGAAAAATATATATTTTTAAAAATAAAAGATAAAAGTTAATTGAAACTTGAATTTAAAACAAAAAGTGGAAGAAAAACTACTTTTTATTTAGTTTTTCTAATTATAAATTTCCTTTTTTCCTTTTTCCATACTCTATACGCAATAAAGTACATAGAAGTTAACTAAATCCAACAAACAAACACACCTGATAGTAAGTACATCAGTTCCAGGATCATCTATTACAAAACCTGCCAGTTGCCAAGTATGATCTTTTTGGCGGACTCTGTCATAAAGAGCTTTCATCCATTTATGCGCAATATCCTTTGCAAACCAAGGTGATAGAATCCAGGCAACGGGGATTGCATTTCTCTTTGAATCGAAGACGAGGAGAGTACAAACAGGATACTACACAAAACGATTTAGACACTAGCCAGTTTAGCATCAAAGAAGGCCGTGTTGCTTACATTATTTTTTCTGATCATCCAAAAGTTAAACATCAAAGGATATGAGGACTCCTAATACAGTAACAAGAGATTGAAACCAAGTAAACATAAAGACCCCCAACACCACAAGATAGCAGTCAAGTTACTGAAGACCCCCATAATCATAGAGATAGATAGAAGTCAAAAACCCCTGATAATCGAAAAGTAAGAAATATCAAGCAAACAGAACTGACCGTCAATTTCCTTGTTCCGAGCCTCGAATCACAAGCTATGAGGCTCCTGTTTCCAAACTGAATCATTTGCTGCAACTGCCACTCAGTTTGGATACCCAAAACAAATGGGTCATTGTCAGAGAAGTCCTCATAAAAGAAGACATGATTTCGGTGGCTCTCAATCCACAATTCAATACTCACTCCATCATCTGGGTCCCTTTTGTAAGTGGAGCGCCTGATGCTCCTCTCTGTCCTTCGAACATAGCGGTGAGAGAGAAGGTCATCTCGGTTACGTGGGCCCCCCTGCCTCTTCACCTCTTCATTGCGTCTCTGCATGATGCTCTCTACTGGGACCCCAACATATAACAAAGAGATCACTTGTTGTCGAAGCTCGTCAGATATATATGGGGCAAACATGGCTCCAGTTCCAAGGGCCTGACCATCTTGTGGACCATGGCATGGTAAACCACTCTTATCTATGTGCTCCCTATGATTATATATGATAAGGGCAACAGATGGTTCGGCCATTAGTCGCTTGACAATGAAATGGCAGGTGCATCCTCTCTTTTGACCAGGACGACCAGCAGGTGACTTCTTTGGGGGTTTGAAGCTTCGACTTGGCCGAGAAATTCCTCCAACTCTGTGATCATCTGGCCCAAAGGAACACCAGTACCTGAACATACAGCCAACCTGGTTAGGGGGTTTGGCCTCTTGTCTTGCTGGTTCAATCATGAAGGACACAACACTACGATCTTGGCTTTCTCCTCCCTACCCACCCAAATAAGAGGGGAAAAAAGTCCCAAATTAGTAAATTTTACTTTGCCCACTTATGGAGTTCAGCCTCTTGGCTTGTTAATAAGGTGTAAAGGTTGAAGACCACAATACTATTCATCACAACTCAATCCCAATTTATGTACCCAGAAGGAACAAAAGCAAAAGACAACAAAAACCACATGATAAATTCCAAACAGAACAAAAAACAGAAATCCCAACTACTATGTTTCACCTTTTAAAAGGGAAAGAAGAAACTGCAAGCTTCACTTGTATAACTATGTTAAGTCAATTATGGTGATACAAACAAGCTCTTATTGTGTGTGTGTGGTTGGGGGGGGAGGGGGGGGGTTGTGGAATTGGATATGATGTTGTTTTCATAAATATAACCTGATAAGCAGAAAGAAAAAGGAAAAAGAGGAATTACATACAGTATATATTCAATATATCCATCCACTCTAGGTTTGTAGCCCATTCCTTTGGGCTTTCTTCTCCTTGCCTCCACATGAAATCGGGTAGGACACTCAGGGTTGGCGGATTCACCTCTGACAAAGTCATCAACTCTGGAGAAAGGGATGAGAGCAACTTTGTCCATCACTTGACGCCAGCCCTCCACCTTAGACCATGTGAGATCAGCTGAAGAAAATTCAATGGTTGATGGCTGTTGTACTGGCATTGTCAAAATTTGATCCCACCTGGCAGCCATCTGCTTAAAACACCATTAGCAAGAATCCTGTTTAGTATCAGAAGTGTCATTTCCTATATAATGCAAAGGGAAGTTTTGATTTTGGTACTGCAGACTTTATATAGTTTACAGTGTAGGTTGTTGATTTAAACCAGCATAGGGAAGCATGGACTCAGTTCAGAACTTGGAAGGGTCCTGACTCCCAGTCATGTCTGACACACTAGGCCGAGTCTGTCAGAGACTTAGGCGAGTTTGTCCAAAACTCATAAAAAATAATGGAAACCAGCCGCGTTTGTCCAAAAATAACAATAATGAAAAATAGGAACCAGCCCAACTCAGATGGTTCCAATGTGGATGGTGTCAGGACTGGCACAGTAACTCAGGCGAGTGGGCTCGCCCAACTTTTCCAACACTGTTTTGGACAAGTAAAGAAGCAAAGCAAGTCATCAGTCTTCTAAGAACTAAAGGTGATAGTAATTTTAGTCGTATATAAAAGATGATAACAGGACAACCAAGAAAATAATGAGGGGTACCTCGTTTCCATTGTAGTCAGTAGAAGAAATATGGAACTTACAGTCCCACAAATTAACATTCAAATGGCATTCAGTTCAATAAAAAAATTACTACTCTCTATAATTCACTTCTCATGTGGTTAGAAAAATATACAGCATTATTTCAATAATAAAATGAGGTTTTAAACTTATTATAGCATATTATGAATAGTCTTCTATCACTAGGTTACGTAAACAATAATTACAAGATACTAAAAAATGGAGACCTTTTCTAACAATTACCATCTTGAAAGTATTTCGTTTATATTATCAGGAACATATTCACAGGAAATTCAGAGCAATAAATACGCCAAATGACTCCATATGGTAATTTCAGAGCAATTAACAAAGAAAATCCAGTACCAATACGAACCTAAGATTGTTGCTTCAAAAAAGAAAAAAAAGGAGAACTTATCAATAATAACTAAAAAAGGAAAAGAAAGGAAAGCATGATCACAATTCAATGGAAACTCACGGGGAGCCCCATTTTTGCAAAATGCCATGTCACCTTATCCAATATAATTAACCATTACTAGGGCTTTGTGAGACTGCTGAGAGAGAGAGAAAGAGAGCAGTAATAATCAAAATCGAACTTGTAAATTTAGTGAGAACACCAGTAATGACTATTTGCAGTGAAATTTGATAAAAATATGAGAAAAAAGGGAGATTTTCAGTATAGACAAATTAATGAATTGGAGGAATGGAGTCACCTCGTCTTTGCAGCAGCTCAAGAATTGAACAGAACAGGTGATTAACAGTTACTGTCTCAAAAACCCTGCCTTTCAAAACAGTTGAGGAAAAGAGGGTAAGAGAGATGGATAGAAGGGAAATATGATAGAGAGAGAGGAAGAGAGAAATCGTATGGAAAGGTGGCTGTCGAAAGAGAAAGAGGAAGAGAGAGAGAGAGAAAGATAAACGTCAAATATGTGAGCTGAGGAAGAGAGAGAGAGCAAGAAGAGAGGGAGATACGTTGAGAGAGAGAGAGAGGGAGGTGAACTTTGGTGGTGGAATCAACAAAGTTAGCATACATAAAAAACGCTTGATGAAATCAACAAAGTTAACATAAATAAAATAATAAATAAAATAAAAAAGAAGACGAAAATTATGTATATGTTTTGTTATATTTGTTGTTATTATAGAGGGTGCAATTGGCATACAAACGCCTCCCTAGGTGTAGAGATAAGGTACCCTTCAAATTATATTATGGTATATATTTTTGATGTAAAATATTATTAAGATTATTTTAAAATCTATTTTTATATCTAATTATACAAATTTTAAATTTTAAAAATAGTTAAAATCAAGTAAATCTATAAATTTTAAAAAATCTTGAAAATGAACGGTGTAGATAATATGTTGTGAAATGCACTATTTTTAAGACTTAAAATCTTTTTATTTTTAATAGTCGTACATCTCAATGTCGAGATGATCAATCAAAGGGTTTTTCAACGTTAAAACTATTTTTTCCGATGGATTTTTGAAGGACATCCGTAGTTCTACCTTATAAGGTTGCATCCTTATATAAACTTTTTCCTATTATAAATAGACCTTTTAGTTTTTTTTTATTACATCTATATCCATCTTCTTAACTTCATAATATTTTTTTAAAAAAATACATGACTGCCTATTTTGTTTTTTAAAAACCCAAAATCAACTAAATTCGGTTTTTGAAGAGCCAAATTTGTGCTTTGTATCTCCTTGATCGGAACAAGCAATACTTGGTATATGCGGTCTGCCAAGTATGTGCTTGACTACTATTGTTTCAAGGGTTTCCCTGTAGATTACGATTTTTTTTGGTACCTTCTTCTCTGTAGGTAATGATAGGAGTAAGAGGGATTGCCGATGAAGAGAAGGGTTGAGCGACAGGGGATAAATCTTTTTTTTTTTGGTCTAAGACCAATAATAATGAAGAGGGAGAGGGAGAGAAGGAAGTTATGGCTTTGAATCTTCCATGTTCTTTTTCTCTTTGGCTTATTCTTCCCTGCAAGTAACAATTCAAGGAGCCCATTGCAGAGTGGGAGAGGAGGATGTCAAAATTTTAGATATGTGAAAAATCGAAAAACATATAATTCGGGTTTTTAAAATGCAAAAATTATTATTTTTTTGGCTTTTTTCAAAAATCGAATTTTTTTAACATTTCGGTTTTTTTAAACCCAAAAATGAGAAGTTTGGTCATTTTTTAAAAAAAAAATGTTATTGAAGTTAAAAAAAACGGATATATTTGTAATAACAGATACCAAAAAATCATTTTATAATAACGGGAATAAAATGGATATATATGTAATTTCCCCTAAGAAAAACAAAGATGAAGTTTATATAAGACCGGGCTTTATGAAAATAAAATAAAGCCTCACCTCAAATTCTCATCCGGAAAGTACTTTAAGCGACAAAAATCTCCATCATGGTTCTAAAATCAATTTTCAATATTGATAATAAAATTTGAAGTTCAAAAAATAATACATATCTTCTGGATCTATGAACACCTATTTTTAAGGTGAAATGGGTGTTTTTAAAAATTTATTATATTATACACAATTTTTAGAGCTTAAAATCTCTTTTTTTTTTCTTTTTTTTTTTTCACAGCCATACCTTCAAGCCAATATGATCGATGCAAAACTTTTTTAATACTTAAATTGCAATTTTGGATGAGTTATAAGATGAGGTTTTATTTATTTCGATATGGCTATAGCTATATCAAATCATTTAAAAAAACACAATGGTTACTTTCCCAAATGGAGGTGAAATTGCCTATGGTTACTTCATCTCAAAACCCCTTTTTCTCTCTCTTTGTTTTAGTATTTTCCCCAATCATCTCTCTCCTATATTTAAACCTCTTTCTTATGGAAAAAGTTTATATAAGGGTACAACCTTATAATATAGAACCACGGATGCACCTCAAAAATCCATCGGAAAAGGTAGTTTTAATATTGAGAAACCCTTTGATTGATCATCTCAACATCAAGATGTATGACCATGAAAAATAAAAAGATTTTAAGTCTTAGAAATAGTCCATTTTACAACATATTATCTATACCGTCTATTTTCAAGATTTTCATATGTTTATAGATTTACTTGATTTTAACCATTTTAAAATTTTATAATTAGATATAAATATAGAGTTTGAGATAATCCTAATAATATTTTACATCAAAATTATATACCATGATAAATTTTGAAGGTGCACCTTACCTCTACAGCTACGGATGCATCTGTATGCTACCTGCACCATTTCTTATTTCTCATATATTTTTACAATGTGCATTATAAAGTATTTGATATAAATTTATGGGATAGTCTATAAAGAGGCCATTTATCTTTTATATATGGATGTCATAACTATTCTCACTCATTAGATGTCAAAATAGATGGTTTGGGGTAAGTCATGAAATCCGATAACTTTTTTTTGGAAATTTGTGTCTATTCAATGGCACTCTTACAACCACTAATTTTAAAATTGGAGAGACAATAATGATTGTGACCTCGATGTACAAAAGACAAATGGTGTCTTTGTAGACAATCCCTAAACTTATAAGTAATTTTACATGTGGAAAAAGTTTATATAGAGCTAAAGCTCTAAACAATCAAAATAGAGCCTACCTCAAAAATTTCACTAGAAGAGGTTGTTTTGACGTCCAAGTATCCTCAAATTGATTATCTCGACTCCAAGATGCATGGACATGAGAAAAAAATGGATTTCAAGTTTTGAAAATAGGGTTTTTTGTATCGCATTTTTAGACCATCAATTTCAAGATTTTCAATTTTTCAAAGATCTATCGATCTACACTATTTTTGAAGCTTTAAACTTTATAAATAAATATGAAAATATATTTTAAAGCTATCACAAAGATTTATAATATTGAAACCACATTTATCGACATTATTTGAAGGTAGGCTCTAATTTGATTGTTTAGAGCCTAAGCTCTATACAAATGGCACCCTTTACATATATGTCAATCTTTGAAATAATATTGCTACTTTATTCAAAGTAGGAAAATTGTTTAATGTAGATTGGACCGCAGTTCTACATATGTGGTCAAGAAGGTGTAAAGCATCCATCTTAAAGATGGATGCAAGTAGGTGTTCTTTCAGAAAACAATGGAAACTAACGGTCCAAAAGTTTTCTTACTAGAATTATTATTTATAGTTTTTAAATTTTATTTATTTTTTCATATTCGTGATCTCCATGTTAGCGATTGCATATCTTTAAAAATCAAGTCTTAAAATCCATCTCAAAAATAGATTTATAAAGAGACTTGCATTTCTACATATGCGAGCTTGGCCGCATACAAACCGGGTCTGTCAAAGTAATATGTTAAAAATCACTTGTGTTGTCCAAAAATAGCGGAATATTGCCAAAATATTAAATATTTAAATAATATTATAAATACAAGGTACATATCAAACAATCGACGATATAATATCATATACGGTATATTAATTTCACATAAAATACTATATTTGATAAAATTAATTGTCATCCAACCGGAGCTTAGTATTTATCTACTCTCTTTGTTATTTGGAGTTGTATACAAAGAGACTATTTATATACAAGGAGGTCACAGTTACTCATAATGATCCAATGCGAAACCTGATAGCTTGGATGTATTACAAAGTTCGAGATAATTTCTTTTAAACTTTAAGCTTGGTCAATGCAGTAAATGTAGCTACCCAATTTCACATCCAACAGTCATGATTAATTATGACCACCTTGTACCAAAGTTAAATATTCTCATTTATATACTTTTCTTGTTATCTATCCTCATAATTTTCTCAAAACTCAAATTGGTGGGGTGGATCGTCCACCCACAATTTTGTGTGAGAATACCGATCTAGATCGATGATCACAATAAATATTAAAAGTTATGAATAAAAATTAATAATAGGAGTTTGCACCAATAGTTATCAAAATCGGACCGGATCAGCTGGTCCCATTGAGCTGCAAGCCATTGCTTTGCTATGTTGGTCAAATCAAAATTTGGATTTACTAAAGAACCGCCAAAATTATTCTTCATCTGACTTTGGTCATTGAGAACATTTGGTTTTGACAAATTCAACGACTAATAAAAATTGAACAACTTTTTTATAATATATATAGAATTATTACTTTTATTTTATAATTTAATTTATGACGACTTATAGTCTCACCTAAAGTATAACCTTTGGTAGTGCAGGAAGATAGACCATGACTTAGATCCTATATAGATGGTAAAAAACTTTGATGATCATAATGATAATCTAATTTAAATCATTCAATCAATAGGTCTAGATCCTTCATCACGATTCTAATCAAAATCATTTGCTCGTATATCTTGCTTCACCTCTTCCTCTCCCTTATTTGGATGCAATTGGCTTAGTTTTATCAAAGCAAAGTCCCATTTCAAATCCTCATTTGAAGAGCACTTTGAGCATAAAAAATTATCTATGAAGGCTCTAATCGGTCATGGACCTCGAAGCGGTTTAACCGACCTAATCGGTATATCGGCTGATTTAACGGTTCTGATCAGGCAAGTCTCGGGCGATCAAAATAGCGTTTTTTTTTTTAAAAAAATCTATTGAAATATGAAAAGCATATAAAAAAACACTAAAATATGAAAAATATATAAATAATGATTAAAACAAATCACATTCAAATGAAGTTGGAAATTAATGAAAAATGGATTTTAACCCACTTTATATTTTTCGATAGCTATATTTAATTTGTTAAAAAAAATGCGAAGATATAAAAGTAAATATTAATGACCAAAACAATTTTTAATCTTTATGATAATGTAAATAATATTTCAAAATATATTACAAATCAAATACTCTAATTTTGAGAATTTATATATATATTTTTAAATTTTTTTTGAAGTACTGGCTTATCCCCAAAAACAGGAACCGGCAGCGGGCTGGTTCCCATCTAACCGGACGGGCGATTTGTGAAGAATGCTTTCGGTCTTTTGTCTCTCTCCACTACTGTCTCTCTCCACTCGCACTCACGATCTGCATTCCCACACTCTCCTCCCTCTCTTTCTCTCTCTTCTTCCTTTCTCTCTCTCTGATAAACCTCTGAGAAATGGGAGAGAACGCGAATGAGGTGCCCCAAGAGGAAGAAGAAGACCAGATCGTGAACCCATTCCAGGTCACTGTGAAAAAGGGCGAGAAGATCGACTACGACAAGCTCATCGACAAGTTTGGGTGCCAGCGCCTCGACCCTTCGTTTGTTGAGAGGGTTGAGCGCGTCACCTCTCGACCTCCCCATGTCTTCCTTCGAAGGGGCGTGTTCTTTGCTCACAGGCAAGCTATCTCAAACCCCAACCCTAGGTTCAAGCTTATGAATCGTCTTAATTGTGCAGTTTCTTTTTTTTTAAGCTCGAATACTGCTCAAATATTCAGTTTATAACTCTAATAAACTAATCAATCGCTGTTTAATTGGGTTCATAGTTAGTTGAATTCCTGGAAATTTTATTTTTTGGTTCCTTTGGATCATTGGGCTACTGTTTGATTTGGCTGTTTTACTATTGAATTCTAGCATTTGACACTTCTAAAATATTAAAATTTGTTTTACTCTGTGAATTATCGATCACCAAAAATATTCATTTTTCTATGTGATTCGGCAGATTATTAATTAAATTTCAAGGTTTTTATTATAAAACATGCAATTTGTTGGATTATTGATTAAATTCTCAGTTTTTTATTACTCTAGATTATTGGATTTCTGTTTATCGATTAAATTATCGAAACTTTTATATTTCTCTCGCTTTCAATCTTCTATTTAGTAAATTATTGATTGAATTTATGAATTATCAGTCAGAACTCACATTGTGCATGCATTTTTTGCATCAAAATTATTAATTGAAAGCTCACATCATGCCTGTAATTTCTCAGTTTTCTGTTCTTCCAGATTATAGAGCTCTGTTCATTAGGTGAATTATTGATTAAAATATCAAAAGATTTCAGTTTCTCTTGGTTACTGAGTTCCTGTTCATAGAAAATGCCAACTGAATAATCTCAATCGAAATTTACATTGTGCAGCATTTTTTCTTTGATATGAATGATTGATTGAAAGCTCACATCATGCGTGTGACTTTTTCCAGGGATTTTAATGAGATTCTTGATGCTTATGAGAGAGGGGAGAATTTCTATCTTTACACAGGAAGAGGACCATCATCAGAAGCTTTGCATTTGGGGCACTTGGTTCCCTTCATGTTTACCAAGTGTGCCACCTTTCTCTCTGCAATTATATCTTTTCTACATTGATTGTTTAAATCCTATTTTCCTTCGTAATTATAAGAAGGTGTATTTTTCTTTGTAATCTGGTTTCATTGATGTTCATAAATTGAACTGGATTTTAGTTCATTAAAATTTTCAGAAATGAACTGCATTTGGGCACTTGGTCCCTTTTGTTTTTACCATGTGGTCACCTTTTTCTCTGCAATTCCATCTTGTTTTACATTCATTGTTTAGATTATGTTTTTCCCTTTTTGATGAAGAAAAATATTTTTCTTATTCCTGTGATGTGCTGTGTGCATGTATTGAATTGGGTTGCTCTATTTTTTTTCAATTTTATTTTCGAAGTTATTGTTCCCCTGGTGGAATTGGACCATTGGCCATTTCAACAAAGTCATATGATTTTTGCAAGTCATGGACCAAAAATTTCCATTTTGTTTTAAAACTGTAGTCTATGCCTCTCTATTCTTTTGGTCTTTTGGGTCAAAAGCATCCATTTTTATGCTTTCTAGTAAAGCAATGCTGTTGAAAACAAGGAATAACTAATATGTTATTTCTCAATCATTTAGATGTGCTTTAATTTGTGAACATGCCATATTTCTGTTTCCAGATATTTGCAGGATGCTTTTAAAGTTCCCCTTGTTATACAGCTCACTGATGATGAGAAGTGCATGTGGAAGAATCTATCAGTAGAAGAGAGTCAGAGGCTTGCTCGTGAAAATGCTAAAGACATCATAGCATGTGGTTTTGATGTCACTAGAACTTTCATATTCTCTGACTTTGATTATGTTGGTGGGTAAGTTTTACTTATGTTGAATAGATTAGATCTAACTTTGTACACCTGGTTTCTTAATAGTTAATACCATCAGTGGCCTAAGACTCCATTGTCCAAATAAAGGCTTAATCTATTTTGTTATTGATCCTTTCTTCTTTCATTTGGTATAATTTATTTCTTTTTGATAACATGGTAATAGTCTCTTCTTTATCGGAAAAGAACATGATCATAATTTGTTGCTCTTGTTGCATTTAAAGTTGTAATAATCTCATATCTATGTTATTGTCGGCAGAGCCTTCTACAAGAACATGGTGAAAGTTGCAAAATGTGTTACATTTAACAAGGTTATTCTCATATGGATGTCCTTCCTTTCCATTTCCACTTTTCTGGTTTTTATTCTATATATTTTCCGAATATGTAGATCTTTTTTAGGGAATCGAGCTTGGGTCAAGGTGGTAGCAGCTAGATTTTCATAGCACTACGTCTCAAGTTCCATTCCTATGTAACCTTGTCAAAAAAAAATAAAAATTGTAGATCTTTTTTATTGTTATTGTCCTTGTTGGTTGGGCTGAAAGTTTATTAATAGTACTAAAGAGAATCATTTTATTATTTATTCTCCTTTATTTGCAATCCTATTGTGTTGGTAACTGACCGTTCTTATTAGAAACAATGAGGAGAACCAAATTCAGGTTGGAAAAGAAATGAATAATAAAAAATAACATAAAAAAAATGTTTTCTGGGATGTGGAACAAAATAATATCAAAGAAAAGAAAAAAAAGAGTGCAAAGAAATAAAATTTTTACAGATAAAAACTCAGAAGAAGATAATGGGAACTGTTATTTTGGAAATGAATATACTAGACTTACTTGCAATGCTATTAGTTTTAATGAGTTCATGTCCATCAAAATGTTTCTTCCAGGTGGTGGGGATATTTGGATTCACACCAGAAGATCATATAGGCAAAATCAGTTTCCCTCCTGTTCAGGTTTGCTTGATTACTGGACAAATTTCTGCTCAAAATGCATCTATTTTGATCCTTCTATTATTTTATTCTGCTCAGATGGGCTGTCATTTGGTTGATATTTTATAGTTCTGATTCACATTTAGTGTAGCTACTTTGAGGTATGCTTTTTTTTTCCACAGGCTGTTCCTTCCTTTCCTAGCTCATTTCCACATCTCTTTTCTGGCAAAGATGATCTCCGCTGTCTGATTCCATGTGCTATCGACCAGGTTTACTTCTCTCTTTCCAGTTGTCAGTATGATTGAGTTCATTGTGACTTTTTCTTTCTAGAAGGCACCATTTTCCTCTGACTGCTTTGGTTTTTTATGCCATTTTTTTTAGAAGTTGCTTAATGCATTGTTACCTTGCTGCAAAATTACAATGTTTGGAATAATAACTTTGCATTGACATCAGAAATTAGCTTTTAAACCTCGTGTTAGAAATAGGCAGCATGTTTAGTCTTTCTGTACTGAGCTTCTAGGCCTGGTGGCCTTTCTTTGTCCTTCTTTAGGATATAACAGATGGGAATTTTGTGGAGGTGGCATTGTAATAATGTTTTCCAAGTGGTGCTATATTTAGCAAGGTGAATACAATATTCAAGCTAAAATTCCAACTTTTGATGTCCACCCACTTTCCATATGAGTTGTCCTTTCAGGGGAAGGCTGATTTTTACTATGGCTATATTAGGGATTAGGACTCTTTAACTCGGGTGCTTATTTGATGGAATCTTGTATTAAGGAAGCGTAAAGGCTCCTAAAACTATGGTAATTTTTAATGATTCTTGTTTGCAATGTGGGAGAACCTTTGTCCTTCCTTGAATGATCTGGTGTTACCTTGTATTACTATAGCTCTACGGATGACTGTTAAATAGAGATAGTATAGAACTATGGTAGTGCTGATGGAAAGCCCTAGCAGCCACGTACTTTAGGAGTGACAGTTCTTGCACCTTGTGATTGAGAGAGAGTGCGAGTCTCTCTCTGTATGTCATAGTGTTAGGAAGGGATGGTAGCTGGGTGATCATAGGGGAGAGACTGTAATTTTTGTTGTTAATTACAGTGTGTGAAGTTCAATCATCTTCAATTATGCGCGTCTTTTTCTTTTTCTGGACAATGATATTACCAGTCTCTCCTGTATGAAATTTATATTTTGCTCACCTGTTTTTTCTGTTCCTAACTTGGCATAGTTCGTTACCTTTTTCTTTTACATCAGTTCTATTTGTTAACTTGTGTACTTGCTCCTTTTCCTTGTATGATCCAAATCATTGCCCTGCTAACTTCTCAAAGTTTTGTGCAGGATCCTTATTTTAGGATGACACGTGATGTTGCTCCAAGGATAGGATATCAAAAGCCTGCATTGATAGAATCTTCGTTCTTCCCAGCGCTGCAGGTCTTCTGAATACATAGCTATGGAGCATTTTTATCATTCATTATTTTGCAAAGATTGTCTTTGTGATTGGAATGTTATACATTCACTAATTTTTCTGTTTTACGTCTTCTGGTTTACATTCCCTCCTTTTCCATTCTGCTATATATTTTGATTTCTATTTCAACTCCCAAATAGTGGACCATTTTGTATCCTTTCTTACAGGAAATGATGCCATTGTAATCAGAATGTAATGGGCTTGCTCATTCTTCTCTTTTGCTTTTTTCCCCTGTTTATTTTTGGACCTGGTTTTTATGAGTCCCCCAACTCATACTTTTATCATGCGGGCTCCCTCTTGACACTCATTTTTTATATAGATCTTGGATCCAAATTTGTAGAGATCCATGATGCTTCTGAATATAAAAGATAAAATAAAATTTTAAAACATTTTTTTAAGAATTTTAAAACATTTTTGTAAGAATTCTTTCCTATCCATTGGATAGGAATTTTAGTTGTGGAGGTTCATCTTAAAGATGAATCTCTGTGAGTGAGCGGGGTAGTGAGTCCACTTACTCACAAAACACTTTTCCTTTATTTTTTTCTGTTTGTATTTTGCCTTGGATTTTGGCTTTTAACTCCCCTTTGGCGGACCTTTGATTCCCATTTCCTTTTTAATTTGGAATTTGATAGTCTGAGACCTTGAAATTTGCAGGGTGAAACAGGTAAGATGTCAGCTAGTGACCCTAATTCTGCAATTTATGTCACTGATTCTGCCAAAGATATCAAGAAGAAGGTTTGTTTTCAACCTTTTTATACTTGAGAGTTAACAAAATTCTTTTATTTTTCACTCATTATGTTAGAATATTATTCATGGCAAAACACTTTGTGTTTAACCAGTTTCTTTTATCTGTTACCAGTTCTTTAGAGAACAATTTAGTTCGAGATGCCTTCTTGATATTTTCTTCTGTAATTGTATGATTCCTTTATGTTGTTAATAAGGCCTTTTCTCAAAAAGTAGAGATAATTGATAAATTGATGTCATTCAGCTGCTAATAGTTATTTGAGGAGCTTCTAATATTTATTTGAGGAGCTTCTTAGTTGAAGCCATTCAATGACTAGCAATCCTCGCGGCAACTAAAGGAAAGAAAACTTGGAAGACCACTGGTATCAGGATTGGACCTTCTAGCAAATTGGTTAGGGGTCCATGCCAGACAAAACTGGTGAGATTGCCCACTGGACCGTTTTGGATTCTGAAAGTAAATAAAAAAGGAAAATAGTCAAAACTACGAAATATATTATATATTTTTTTGACTTACCTTGTTTGATAGGTACAACCAGTTAGAACCGGCCAAATCTGGCAAATATTTATTTTTTACTGTTTCTTGATGAAATTTGGTCTATTTGGGCCGGCCTGGCCAAGGGACCCGTAGCTGATCGGATGAACACTTACACCAGCCATCTGGTGCAGTCTTTATATTTGTGGGAAATCAAGCAATATGAAAGATGGGCAACTTAATTTCTAATAATGAAACTTCCTATTTAAAAATCATTGCCATTGCTAACTTTTTTTTTTCCCGGAGAAATAATTATTCATTATAAAACTAAAGCAATACAGTTTCCAAAACAATGATGAAGACAAAATCAAAGTGTAATGAAATCCCATATATTCTCCACCATCTGATTGCACCCATATTACTCCTGGTCTCAGAGGATTATAGCTCTAGAGCTTCGAACTGGATTAAGGACTCAACCGTTCACATATAGGTTTCACAAAAAACAAAAAGATAAAAAACAGGTGTTTTGCTATCTTTTGGCTGAACCGGGCTAAATTACTCTAAAATCAAAGTATACTCTTAAGTGAAAATATAAAAAGATCTAGTTACTAGTTAGTTATTTCTATCATACTTGAAACTTAGTTGCTTATGGGCCAAATGTTGTTGGCTTCATGTTGTTTGTTCATATATTTGGTATTCTATGAATACAAGGACTGCAAAGTATTTGTTTCTTTGTGAAATTACTTTATCCTTGAATTTATGCGTTTTAGAGAACAATCTTGAAACCCTTCCTTTTCAATTCAAACTTTATGTTAAGGTACAGATTTTAAACGGCATGTTTGATGATTTCCTTATATGTTGTTTGCAGGTGAACAATCATGCATTTTCTGGTGGCCAGGATTCCATTGAGAAACATAGGGAGCTTGGGGCGAATTTGGAGGTTCTCATCCCTTTGAACGACCGTCTATGTTTCAACCTTTTTCTTTTTTTTAACTGTAACTTTTTCCCAGGAAATGAATATTTATACTTTTGAGGGTGGCCAGGATCCCATTGAGAAACATAGAGAGATTGTTATACTTACCCCAAAAAAAAGAGATTGTTATCTATGGATATAATAATATATTGTTTATGGGTGCATTTAAGAGGGAGAGAGGGAGAGAGATACAAGGTTAATAAGGTGCTTTTTTTCCTCTTCACCAATCAGTATGGTTTGTACCGGTGTTTAAAAAGTCGGATACAGGCTCTGACTTACCAGGGTCGTGAGTCCAAGTCCATCACAAAATTGGCCTAGTCCGAGACTGTGATATGATTGATTTTTTGCCAAAAATAACTTAGGGGACTCTAGGATCGGAAGCTGATTTTTGGGTGTATCCCTCCAGAATTGCCAGGGTCCTCCTGTCTGGTTGGGCGATTCCCAAGTTCACTGCTGAGGTTTTTTAATCACTGATTGTACTTTTTCTTATATCTGCAATAATTGGAACACCTATAACTATGTTTAAGTGAACTTTGCGGCATCTGATCTCTGAAATATGAAACTGTAGATCCATAATAAAAAAAACCAACATTGGTTCTTCTTTTTTGGTTATGTATTGATTTATGTTTTTATGAACTTTTTTTTAATATTTTATATTTGTGCAAATTTAGTCTCTGCGATTTTGTTCTGTACCTATGCAAATGACTTGGAGGATCTAATTAAATACTATCCAGTGCCTTCTTTCATGTCAATTATCTTTGGATTTTTCAGGTTGACATACCATTCAAGTACCTCACCTTCTTTCTAGATGATGATGATGAAGTAGAGCACATAAGAAAGGTGAGATGACCTTTGCTATCTATTTTCTTGTTTTTTAAGAGTATAACATCTTGGAACTTAGCCAAATGCTCATTCATCATAGTGAAGTTTGGAATGATAGTGGTTCTTATTTGATTTTCTTCTCTATCATGTCATCTAGGTCGGACAAAACTTTGGATATGTAGATTGACACAGGATTTAGTAGATTTTTTTTCAATTGGGGTTATATAAGTTAATGCAGAGTGTATAGGTTGGACAAAACTTTCGATATGTGGATTGACACAGGATTTAGTGATGTTTTCTCAAGTTGGGGTTATATTGGAGAGGGCAATAAGTTAATGCAAAGTATATTGTTCTGCAATGGACTATAGTCCATAGATTCGTTGCTGCTTTGGAAAGATGGATGGTGATGGAGAGTGGTACTCACTGGAAGGGGGCATGTCTCCAATTTGGCTCCCAATCTTTCTCCATGACCATCCATTTTATGGGACGGTCTTGAATAAATGATCTTCATTTAACCATAGTTCATTATAGTATACTTTCTTATGAGTTATGAGACTTCAGTTATGTTTCTCTGTTCTTTTATTTATCTCTCTCTTCTGTAGGAGTATGGGTCTGGGCGGATGCTAACTGGCGAGGTTAAGCAAAAGCTTATCCAAGTCCTGACTGAGTTGGTTGAGAGACATCGCAAGGCTCGTGCTGCTGTTACAGAGGAGGTAACATAATGTTTCACCAATTAGTTTCCTGGATAATTTTTTGTCTTGATTCTTCTTTAGAAGTTGTGCTTCTCTCTCTCTCTCTCTCTCTCTCTCTCTCTTTCTCGCTCTCTGAGGTGGGGTTAGATGTGATTTCATGTTTAAGTTTGGCTTTTTGAGTTTGGTATCTTCTTTGGGAGAACCAACAGTTTTTTCATGCTTGGTGAAGGTGTTTATTTGTGCGCTTTTGTAAGAATTAGTATACAATGACTGCAGTGAATCTTCCGAAACTTTCACATCAGCTGAATTGTTGGATTTCAATAGTGGACGGGTGGGTTGTGTCATTCAATGTTCAAAAAGCGGAATGTAATGCCTTGGCTGCCACAGGGGCCTGGCCACCTACGCATGATACTGGAACCTATGTGCACCCCATGCACATTTACATACATATATCTAAGCTCCAATCACATTTGTATGCACTCACGCCCGACAAACACATATATGCACATTTGTATAATGTTCTTGTGCGTGCCCGTGTGCCTGTGCATGTACTAGTCATCTATCTTTATATATGTATGTATATATGCGCATGCATGTGCTGTCAATTAATTGAATTGAAACACATTTATGAATTTGACTAACCTTTGTTGTCTGTGTGTGTGTGCATACACACACACAAATATGCATGCATGCGCATGCATGTACTATCAGTTGATTGACATGTAACACTAACCTTTGCTGCTTAGGTCTTTGATCCTCAAATGTTTCAAGATGAATATCAAGCTGTGATCGCCCAAAGTATCTTGTAACCTCCCTTGGTAGTTTCCAAGAGATCTTATTCAAATAAATTGGGCCAGAAGATTCTTTGAAGTTCTAGAATATTTTCAATTTCAAAAAAGTTTCAAAACTCTTCAAAGATTGTTTGCGTTAACTCAAGATTAGTTCTAAAAAGGTTTTGGGGGGATTATAAACAAACCACACCCCCCAATTTTCCCCCTTAAAAGAGGGAAAAAGGCTATTTTGGCCATGGCCCTTGGGCAATTTCTTCCTTTGGTCCATGTGGCAACCCAATTGGGCACCTTGGCTGACTGAGGCTACCTGCTTCGGCCCAGGCAAGGTATTTAGGCACCCTCCCCGCCTCGAGGCACAGCATAGGGGGGGGAGGCAGGAGGCTTGTTTCTACACTGGTGCTGGTCTTTCTTCATAACCCGTTTAAATTATTCATGGACTTTGAGTGAGGGATGACACACCTTGGCTGACCCTTGTTGACATCTGGCAACCCAATTGGGCACCTTGGCTGACTGAGGCTACCTGCTTCGGCCCAGGCAAGGTATTTAGGCACCCTCCCCGCCTCGAGGCACAGCATAGGGGGGGAGGAAGGAGGCTTGTTTCTACACAGGTGCTGGTCTTTCTTCATAACCCGTTTAAATTATTCATGGACTTTGAGTGAGGGATGACACACCTTAGCTGACCCTTGTTGACATCTGACACCTTAACTGATGTGAAGTTTCCGCTTTGCTCATTGTATACATTTCCAATCTACAAGATGCTGGATTTTGGGAAATGGCTCTGGATTAGGACTATGGTAATCTCGGAGGGAGAAGCCCATAGTTGTTGAAGACGGAAGCGGGATCCGTTTGGAAATAGCCGAACCGCCCTATTGCGGAAGTTCCCTGGGTTTGGGATCGGCGTCCGTATAATGAACAAGAGAGGGAACGAGATCTTTAGGTTTATGGGAGCGAGATCCCATATCGATGGGTTCGAGGTTTTGACTGGCAAGAATCTAAGCTCTATAACACATTAAACATGGCTGTCAAGTAGAGCTAGTACGGGTTCCCTTGGTTAAGGGATCGAGGTTTCCATTTGTTGTATAACGGGGTTCCTCTTGTTCTAATATCGAGATTCTTCGAGTATAGGAATCAAGGTCCTCAGTTGATTGGCCCCAAGGTCCGCAACTACCTTCGGTTAAGGAAACGAGTCCCATATGTATGTTATCCTCTAGTTAAATAAATCTATAGTTTCCCATTTCTATACATCACATTGCTTACATGCTACTTGCTACTTGATAAATGCTAAATACTACTGAACACGTTACTGTATATGTCCATAGTTCCTTGCTCCAAAATCCAATATGCACATATGAGCGTATGACAACCTCTAATTAAATAATTCCACTGTGCCCTATTTCTAGGCATACATGCTACTTGATGAAATATTAAATACTTTTAGGCACATTACTATATCGTCTGTGGTCCATAGTCCAAAATGTAATATGCATGGCATCCTATGTTTACATAAGTGCATCAAACCATATTTTTATGCGGCACATGCCTATATGCATGATAAATCTAAAGAGTATGGATTATTTTGCTACTTATTTTGTGTTCCCTAGTCCAAAATATAATGTGTATGACATAATCTATTTAATTAAATGCGTATTACTAAAATTTGATACATCAGGTGCCTATATAGTACTTGATAAATCCTAAAAGTATAGATCACTCTATTAGATAGTCCGTAGTATACTTATGTACACCATTCTTATACATGCTACAGATCTCATTAGAGGTATAACTTTAATAACATAGTCCCTCGGACCACCAAGATATTCCTTACACATAAATCCAAAAAATAATCTACAAGTACACCATTGGATTTTTTCTATTATATTAATGAACTACATACTTAGATCACCAACATGTCTCCCTCCCTCTATATTAACCCTTGGACCCAAAAACCAGCCCACACAGCTCCTTTGCCATTAGCATGTGGTGATCATTCTGGTGAATCTGGTCGATTCTCCCAACTCTTCCATGCTATAGGTATGTGTGCTTGTGCTTTTTCCATGTGTATTTCTATGACTCTTGTGTGTGCACAAGAGAGAGAGAGAGAGAGAGAGAGTTGCGTGCGTGTGAAGTAGAGAGGGAGAGGTGTGTGTGCGTGCAGTAGAGAGCGTTGTGTGTGTGCAATAGAGAGAGTTGTGTGTGTGCAGTAGAGAGCATTGTGTGTTCGCAGTAGAGAGAGAGTTGTGTGAAGTAGAGAGAGGTGTGTGCAGGGAGGAGTGAGAGTGAGAGTGAGAGTGGAGAGATAGTGACAAGATGAATGTTTTTTTGTTGCTTTTCGTATATATTTTGTGATTTATGTCATAATCAGGTATTTGGATTGAAGCACGAATTTTGCATGGGTTTCGATGCATTGAATTTCTAAGATTTATGTGATAAATCTGGATGTAGGATCCGAATATGAATGTTGTGTTGGTTACTTTGTCTTGAATTGACATTTTATTGGATAATCTAGTATTGATCAGAGCATGAATACTGAATTTGTTGTTCTGTTATAAAACTTGCCATTTGCATGGATACTAAATTTGTTGCTACTTATATCAAAGAGAGAGAGAGGTGTAGGAATACTGTGGAACTAGATTCATCTGTTTTTGAAAGTAGATTCCACATATATAGAACCCAAGATTATAATGTACCAAAACCTTGGACTATGTTTGATGGGAGCAGGAATCTATTTCGAAATAGTATTGGAATCCATTAATGGTTGGAACATGATCACCTTTATATGGGAGCGAGATTCCAAAATTGAAAAACCGGGGTCCCTACGAGATCCCTCGGAGGAACCGTGGGATCGAGGTTCTAGAGCAGGAATGCCACCCTACCCCCACGGTTCCCTTAACTATGGAGAAGCCAAAAATAAGGTGTCTCCCGATCCCAGGATCCCCTGTGATATTTATGGTTAATATCGGTTTAGTTGGACCTAAGACTTGACTTTGACTCAGCTGATTCCATGATGGGCTCTAGCTCGCGACTGAGGTGAGTGGGAACCCGAGTCCGACTTTTTATAAACGCTAACCTCTCTCTTATCCATGCAAAAGGTGTTTTCTTCTAATTTAAGTTATGTGACCCTTAACTTTGTAAAATAGCTATACTAATAAAAGCTATGAGGTCCGATATATTGTTTTTGTTTCTATTTTTGCTTTGTAATGACTCAATTAGGAAACTATTTCCTCAATATATGGTTGTCCCCTTTAGTCTGAAAATTTGGCAAAATTTAGATTTTGAAGACGTGGCCGTTTTGGGCTTAACTAAGTCTACCGCCCAGCTGGACTTGTGCCTGGATTGCATTTTGAATTTGCATTTGGTTATGTTGTTAAAAGTTTTGTTTCCTCTGTTATCTAGCTATATACACTTGTGTTTTTCAATTTTGTTTGATTGTTTTGTTTCCTTTTTCTTCCTAGATGGTGGATGTATTCATGGCTGTGAGACCCCTCCCCAATATGTTTGGATGAGTTGATATATCCCCTACCAAATTGTCAAGAGAGAGTGAGATTTTACTCTATAAGATCAGGAATGAACTGTCTGGGTTGCTCAGCACAACACACAGGAGAGAGAGAGAGAGAGAGAGAGAGAGAGAGAGAGAGAGAGAGAGAGAAGTTAGTTACTATCGTGACGAGTACGTAATTATTTAAGTTACGTAGTAGTAGAGAAGAACGTACGTACCGTTAGTAGTAGTGTTAGTTTGGTTTACGGTACGGTAACG